AAAACGAGCTGTACAACCTCTGTACCCTCTTTATCACAATGCCCTACACTATCCTTTCCTGTTAGCACTTGGCAGCAACAACAAAGAAATTGGGCCAAAGACAAATGCTGAGCTCTACAGTGCTGCTGATGCCTGAAACAAATCTCCCTAGCCTCCCTACATGATTTCTCCTTCCTCAAATCCACCTAGTGTACTTAAGGTGCTGCCCATGGCTTTTGTCCATTATCTGCCCAAACCACCTGCCTGCTCTCTACTGACTGTATGTCCTTGTTCTCAAAAGGACTTGATGGACCATGATAGAGGGTGCTGGAAAGCTCCTGTCCTGTGAATTGAAGTGCACCTGGAACAGCTGTTTGCAACATTTCTCAATATCTACATCCTTAACATTTTTCCAGGGCTCATGTGAGCCCTGTCTAGAAATGCCATTTGCTCAGACGCTGCATAGTAAACACAGACTTGCTTTCCTTAATCACCTCCCACAGACCAGCTGTCCTCAGGCAGCCTTATTTGTTGTCTTTGTAAAAGAGGCATCAGTGATCCCCAAAGCATGACTTCAGCTCAGATCACCATTTGTGGATTTCTCACAGACTTTCCCTGTGGTACTAAGAACTGAAAGCAGATCCCCTGACATAAAAGCAAAATACCCAAGTGTGCCATTTAAATTCCAGGAATCAAAACATTTCAACTCTTCACTGGATGGAGAATGACAATGTTTCAGGTAAACATGAAAGCTGAATTTATACAAATATTTTGGTATAGTTGAGTTTTCCTGCCTGTGAAAAATTAACCTTCTTATCCAGCAGAATGTGTTTTGGGTCATGGCAGTGAGCAGATGTCTATAATCTCCCACACGTGGAGAATTTCCATAACATCAGAATTAGCAAGAAGTAAATAGGGGAAAAAAAACTGAATGGAAACAAATGGAAGACTGACATGGCTCTGTTCCACGAAGTACGTCCTGCAGCTGCATCACTGCTCTGGAACAAAGGGGAATGTAATTATTGCTGTTTTACTTTCATTTCCCATTAGGAAAGAAAAAGCAAATAGAAGTGGTTGTTATTTCTGCAGGGGAGAGCTGGCAGAGGTGAGTGTATGAGGTCACACAGCGAAATTATGAGGAGACTTTCTTAAACTCGAGTAGTTGATGCAACCCAAAAAAATCTATCAGCAAAATTCACCATTCACACTCTGTTCCTGCAGGGCTGAGTCAGGCTTCTCAGATGCCCTGAGGATATGGCTCAGCCACACCTGCTGGGGTAGGGCAGGACTTGGCTGCTCTTACTGTCTTACAAGCCAAGAATGAGAATTGCTTCTGGAGACACAGCTACCTTTGTAATGCCAGCCCCTGCTCCCAGTGTACTTCCTGCTTCCAGGGAAAGCAAGGCCTGCCATAGTCCCTTCCCATAGCCAAAGGTTTCTAGGTTCACTTGTGGGGCTGAGATGATTTGCCATACAGGCAAATACTCAATCATACACTACTTGCCTCAGTTTGTTGCTTCCTCCTTATTTATGACAGCAAGAAATGAAGCTCCTCATTCTTTCTCCCTTCTTTCTTTGAATTTTGGAGCTAGTTCTTTGGCCAGAGACTTGCACCACTTATTTGCTTGCAAAATCATCACTGTGGATACAGAAAAATAAATTAACAATAATTGATGAGACAAAACCAACAAAGCAACTGAGCTGCAGGATGGATGCCACCAATCTGTGTACAGTAGAAAAGTGTCAGTCAGTGGAAATTTGCAGCATCCTTTGCTATAACTGAATAAATTTTTTTCTCAGTTCTGCTGGATAGGACAGTAGCTCCTGGCTGGGAAAGCTTCTGCTTTTCAGAATGCCAGGATGTCGCCTCTCCATGGGGAGGGTAAAGTGCAATAGTTTGTGTGGAAAGGGTAAGGGGCTGCTCTTCTAATTCCTGTCCCAGCTGCAGAGGTTGTTGCTTGCTGTGTTCTCCACATGCCTGGTTGCCATCAATCCTGTGCTCTCCCCAAGTGCCAACCAAAACTGAAGGAGAAAAGTATTTAATTTAATACCTCCTTCTGTTTTCTTTTTCTGCATTTACACTTAGAAAGCAGATAAAGTGTGACAAGAGGTCATGCAAGGCCTGCTGCTCTGAACTGCCTGTAAAACCGTGTTCAGTTCCAACACAAGCACCCAACCTGGCTGGCCAGGGAGAAAGGGGCAGAAGGAAGCAGAGGCACCGCACCACTCCAGCAAACCCCAATGATTCCTAATGCACAGGACCACCTGGGAACAAGGCAGGGTGGGACCTGCTCATGCTGAAAGTGTCTGGAAGTCCTATTCAGCCCTTAGTGATCAAGGAATTCCTCATCCTCCTACCAAATCAACACAGCTGCAATGGGGGTTTCCTCTTCCTCCCATTCCTGGAGCATGTTAGTACATGAACCACCAACAAAAGACCATGCTTTTTGTCATTAATATGATCTTTAATAAATGGAATAATGCACGATTTTTACAGCAAGCCTTTTCTCTCAGGCCTAAAGAATAGCCTTTTAAATGTTCTTATCCAATGTCTCTGTATCAATACAATCTCTTTATTTAGGTTTATATATAACAAAGCAATTCTTACAAGTATTCATAGAAAACTCTGTAGTGGCTTTAACAATGTCAGCTTTCATAGTGGCATCCACAGATGTTTAAAAACCAAAAATTAGCTTTTTATTTCATACTCACACTGTTCCATGAAACACAACTTATACAGCATAGCAAGGGTATTGGGCAGCTTATACAAAAGAAATAACTGAAAGCAATTATTTATAAATTCATACATGATATTTCCTCAGTCATTTGAGAGGAAAACCAAAAATACCCGTTAACAAAAGGGTTCTGATGAGACTCCATATTCTAGGATTTCTCCCCCTCTTCCCCCAGAAAAGCTCGCTCAGAAAGTAATGCTCTCTTTACAGTCTTTCATAAGGAAAATGGCAGTTTCACATCTTATTTTAGCCTTTACAGAAGACCAAACCCTAGAATTCATTCTTGCCATATTTATTTTCCTCTTATACTGCATTTTGGGGGAAAATAATTAACAGCGATTGTAAAATGTGATTCCAGCTTATATAAATGTGAATAGAGCACACTTTCCTCTAGAGACAAAAAGCAGACAAGAAACATATACATACAAACCGTTTTAAATACGTTTCAACAGTATGAAAGAGAGAGAAGAGTCACCAATCAGGAAATTCAAAAGTGACAAATGAGTCAGCTATAACTTGGACTTGCCTGTTTGTTCTTGTGACTTCTTACAAAGACCAGAAACATGGACTATTTTCTGAATAAACTAGACTGAAGTGTGAAACTTCATGATACAGTTCTGAAGCACAAAAAAAAAGTGAATCAAGTGCTCTAGAAATAAACCTCACACGTTTGCTGTCTTAAAAACAAGTGAATGGGCTACAAAAGTGGAGGTTTGGGAGACCTTGGAAATAAGGCTAATTATTTCTACTTTAAAATAGTTACCAGGCGAGATGCTGCGCCTCGACAGACACACTCCAGTGATACATCTGCAGAAGCCTGCAAGGATTGGGAAGAAATCCTTCCTTCCTGTGCTGTGAAAGCATGGTGTATGCATTGAAGTTAACCAACTGAACGATTTGAAAATTCAAACAATTGCTGATGGAAACAGCAATAGGCTTTGAAAAACAGCTGATGATTACGCTATGAATTAGCATAACTCCAACCAGTTCCTGCTTATTATGCACACGTGTATGTTAAACCACAGTGAAATAAACAGAAATGGCCAGAAGAAGTAATTTGTATTAATAACGCACTGTTAACACAGACCTACATGGAGCCCAGATAAACATTAAAGGGCCTTGGTGTAAATGGGGATTTATCTTGAACCCTCCTACTCCCCCAATGCAGTTCCACTTCTTGACAAAGCCACAGCTGCCCTGTGCTGACCCAACTCCACAGCCTGAATCCCTCATCAGCACCACCCAGCAAAGCTCAGGAGCCAGGGCTGCCCCTGCAGTCCCACATTCCACATCAGCTTTCCTAAAGCTAATCCTCCCCAGAAACATTTTAACACCAGAGCCAGCAGAACCCAACACTCTTTTGCCCACAGTCCAAGGCAGACTCCTGTTGGATTCCAAGCGCTCAGTGTGTGCTGATGAGGCATGCATTCCCTCAGAAACACAGGTGCTGAACATGGCATCCATTTGGATTTGCAGGAGTTATTGCAGAAATGGAAGTTCTGCCTCCAATTTTACTCAGTACAGAAGAAACCCGAAATGAGAAATCTGATTTGTTACACTTCCATGTCAAAACTGAACTTACTTGGGGGGTGGGTGAGATCAAAAAGGGATGTATTTCTATAGCTACAGTTTCATATGACAATATAGGAGCCTAAAATGTAATTGGATTCAATGGACTAAAATACTACGTTTAAATGGCAACCACATATATAACTATAGCTACTACATAAAAAAGCCTCGTAAAAATTATCATGTGTTAAGTGTTTTGGGTTATTTTTTGATCTTTGAGAGAGGTATTTTAAATTACTCAGCTTCAGATAAAGCTTGCCATGTGCATGCCCAGGTTTCTCTCTCATAAATCCATTCCACCCAAACAATCAGTGACTTCATCTGTCTGTCACAGGAGATCTTGGACTACTGGACTACGTGTCACAGTCTGATCCCAGCTTTACTGTGATGCACTACAGACAATTTTAAATGGCATATGAAACCCTCCCCCCCCCCCCCACA